TTTTCCCCCCACATTTTATTGAATCACCAAAGACCCTAATCAATCCAAATACCCTCCTAGCAAACACAGTTGACACACACATTTAATGGTCAGTTTCTTCAAAACTTGGGAGTTCAATGTGAGCGTTGAGGAGCGTGCAGAAAAGGAAACAGAAAGAGAAACAACAGCAACAACAGCAAAAAAAAGAAAAAAAAGAAACAGAAAAAGACAAGAAGAAACGAAGATAAAAACTTTTCAATAAAAAAATTAATATTTAAAAAAATTTCAGTAAAAAAAAAATTGGAAAACAGCACGGCGCGCGAAATTCTAAAAAGCAAAAATTAAAAAAAAAAAGAGAGAGAGAGAGGAGACAGAAACTGAGACAGAGGTAGAGAGAGACAAAGACAGGTACAGAGACAGAAGGCCGGGAAGGGGTCTTCCTACCATGCGAGTTTTGGGTGCTGGAGGCTGGATTATCAGTGGGAAGTCTTGATTTCTGTTTTCCCAAAATGGCTATTTTGCAGAATCCATGAGGCTCTGTCTTCAAGAAAGCCTGTTCCCTTTGCCTCTCCATGCGAATTTTGGGTACTGGAGGCTTGATTATCAGTGGGAAGTCTTGATTTCTGTTTTCCCAAAATGACTATTTTGCAGAATCCATGGGGCTCTGTCTTCAAGAAAAACAAAGCTGCTTTTTTAAAAGAGGTTCTTGGTATAGCGCATATGTGTTTGGCGGATAGAGACTGTTCCTCTCTGGTCACATTCTGGTCTCCTGGTTACAGGACTCTCCTCTGAAAACACAGGAACCTTTGCATTGTTGGATCCTCCTATTCTTTTTCCCTGTACTTCCTCCCCTCTCTTTGTAATGGAACTTCTCTTACTTTTCTGCTTGGGGTAGCAGATCCCTAGAAGTAAACCTTTTCTGACACTTGTATCTTTTCTTTTTGCTCCTCTTGTCCTTGTGGCTTTTCTTACATGTTCTCCTTGGAACCCAAGAAACACTTCTGATACAGTATTTCTACCATGATGCTCTATAACTTGTTTGGGTCTGGCCTACCCAATACCCACAGATCAGCATGAATCCTCTTCATGAATGTGCATGCAGGTTCCATATAGGCCGTTGTAGTTGCTTTTTTGTTGACATATTTTTAGGGCATTGTCTTTCAACTGGGAGTGATGATGTGCTCCAGGGCACACTTCGCAATATATGGAGGCATTTTTGATTTCCTTGACTAGTGGGTCAGGGGCTATCATCCAGCAGGGTGCTGGCCGGACATGCTGCTTAACACCCTGCAGTGCAGAGGACATCTGCTGCCTTGGCCAGCCCCAGATGGCATAGTAGGAAGTTGAAAGAACCTGCTGTAGGATAAAGCCAAAACTTCAGAGTACTAAAAAAAAAAAAAGACATTATGTAATAAAAGGATGTGATGATTTGAATATGGAGTTCTCAAATGTATAATAGTTTTTATTGTCAAGGAGCTTCATTTTCAGTCTAAACTGCTCTGGTTCTTTCTGTGACTCATTTCTAATACTTACTCAAAGTGTCTTGTAGGGAGAAAAAAAAAAAGAACACAACAGCCCAGTGCCTGTCATCAGGCTAGCAGGTGCCTGCAGGGGTTTAGAAATCTTTAAAAGGTGGGAGAACTCTTCGTTCATTTCATGACTTTATTTACTTCAGATTTTTTTCATTTATTGTACAAACAATGACATGGGGGCTGCTGATAGACTGGAAAATGAGAATATTAAAGGATAGATTGTTGCTGACACTAGAACACAAGCGACTAACCTACGAAACCCGTAATGGGAAGATGGAACCCTGTCACACTTGGACATTTCAGCATGTGTCTGGGCAAAGAAAGAGGTTTGAATCTTCTCTCCAAGATTGACCATGTAATGTGAATTCCTGGTTTATAATCCAATTTTCAAAAAATTCTTATTTTTCGAAGTTTAGAAATTTGAGGAGGAGAAGAAAAGAAACATTTTAGGAGATGTTAAGGAAAAAAGACAGTGACTCATGTTCTTAAATAGTTTCTGTTGATGTTGGCACTTTCACGTTGGCCTCAGAAATACTGTGTTGGAATTATGCTGGAAAAGTCAGGTTCTTCTTTTTTCCCCTTTAGAGACTCATTTGATAAATAGTTTACTCCTAGAGAGGCAGTTTGCTCTGTATTTGGTTTATAACAGAGTCAGTATTATCTAATCTCATGTTAAATTTCAAAATCCAGGGAGTTTTTTTTCTGATTGGTGTCAGGTTATAATTAGTGTCAGTGTTTCAGTTTGGTGTTATTTTTGGTTTTGGAGTTTATCTATATGTGTGACACTTGTCTTTTAGTTTGTTGAAAGGACATTGAAGTATTTGTACTGGGGACCAGTAGTTGGCACAATGGCTATGTCACTGGACTCCCACGTAGTCAACCGCAGTTCGAGTCCTGGACCCGGTGGCTTAAACTCACACTGGGCAAGTATACATGCGTGCCCAAGATCCCGAGAGGAGAATGGAGGAGAAGGGATTGTGGCGTGGTCATCCCCCGTGGGGTATGATTTCTCGCTTTCTGTCTCTCTGTCTCTGTCTTTCTGGCGAGTGCATGCGCCCTATAGCAAAAACCTCTCCAAGAAAAAGAAATATTAGTACTGATTTTGCTGGGTTCTGTGAATTAATCTCTGATTTACCACTGATTTAACCTCTCTACCTTTTTCTTGAATACTTTTGGACATTGTGCTAAAACAGAAGCTTAAGCTACAGATACTGTATTTAACAGACTATTTTGTGGGGCTAACAGTGACACAGTGGGGAAACACAGTGCTCTGTGAGGCAGTTCTACCCAAGAAGGTTCCTAGCTATGTCCACAGACCTTCCTGAGGCCAGGCCCATGTGTGCCCATGATTTGGGGCTGGCTAGGGAATGTCAAGATCCTGGTGTAAATGTTGTCTCTCTTACACACACTCCCTATCTGTCTGTCTCTCTTGCTCATGGGAAGAACACATACTAAATCTTAAAACAGAACAAAACAAAAAAGCAGAGCCTAACTGTGGCACAGTGGTAAACATGATGCTCTGTGAAGCTGTCCTGTAGTGTCCCTGAGTATGCTGGGCACATGAGTGCTGAGATATGGGACTGTCTGAGGCATGAGTTGATTACAGTGTCAAGACCCTCCTGGAGGTTCTGTATACTTCTGTCTCTCTCACTCATAGAAGAAATAAATATACTTTTTTAAAAGGTGTTTTAAAGAATATAATCATAACAGAATAGACATGTAAATGTGGACTTGGAATAAATAAATTTCTTTATTTAATTGTGTTTCTCTTAACTTTTTTCAGCCAAGTTGTGCAGAAATTTTGGAGTATTCATCAAATAGTGAAAAAGAAGAGGACCCAGAGAATGTGCTGTTTATTGATTCAGAATCCCCTCATAAATACTATGTGGATGTTAGATCAGATTCACTACAGGTCGTGGAGAGAATGACAGACCCAAAGGTAAAATCGACTGAGACCAACTTGTGTACACCCCAGAAACAGACAGCGAAGTTTCTCAGGACTCCAGAAAGTTCAGGGAAGAAAAAGAAATTTTTAAGGTAAAATTGCACCTTGTAAAATACTTGTTTTTCAGTTTTCCCCTTCCTTCCTCCTTCCTTTCTTCTTTCTGAATTTTGCCAGAGGTTGTGTACTTGTCTAGAGGAGAGGAGAAGTGAGAAAGCCCCCAGTATGGGACATGGCTATGCTGCAGTCCTTTCTCCTCCATCTCTCCCTTCTCTTGGAATTTTGGGCACACACACACACACACAGACACACAAATGCCTGGTGTGCTTTTTGAGCCATTGGGTTTGTTATTCAAACCTCATGGTTGGCCATGTGGGATCCAGCCAGTTCATGTCATGAGCTGGCCCAGTTTTTTCCTTTCTTTGAAAAATTCAAATGTCGGGGCCAGCAGGTAGTGTTGTGGTTAAAGTGCTGGACTCCCACATGGCTGACCACGGTTTAAGTCCTGAACACAGCAGTTTGCTTTCTCACTTGCCCTCTCTCTGTGTGGTCAAATTAAAAATTAATTAATTAAATTAGATAAGTAATTATTTATTTAAAAAATCAAATGTCAGGCTAGTCCTTGGTCCTTGTGGTTAAACAAACGAGGTCCCATATAACCAACCTCATGGTTCAAAAGACATTTTGGGCTCTTGTACATGTGTGCCCAAAATCTTGATAGAGTGAAGAAATGAGGAGAAGGCATTGCAATGTGACCACACCCCACTGGAGGATGCTTTCTGCCTCTCCCTCTGATTCTGTCTTTCTGTCTCTCTGGTGAGTGTATGTGCCCTCTAGCAAAATTTTAAAAAATAAAATCTAAAATACTTGTTTTCTAGGCTGGTAGAGTGGCAGACTAGAATTGTAATTCTGATAAAAGTTGAAGTCCTATGTTCCAGAGATGTGTAGATTGTTCGCCTAAGTTGTGTAATCACAGATTCAGCCATGATTAGCTGATGTGACTGCTTTCCTTAATGGAGATTCACTGTGTGGCTTCTCAAATGGTATTGTCCCAGTACTTAGGAGAGATGAGTAAATCACTGTTTTCTGTCCTTGAGAAATGTAGAATTCCAAGAGGAAAATAGAAATAAACATAGACTGTGCCATGTCACTTTTATGACTACGGCAAGACAGAGGAGCTGGAGCAACACTCGCAAATGCCCAGAAATGCAGAAGGGTATGCATCTCATGGGCAGGACACAGCTGGTATCCAGAGACAGCTGCAGGGAAGGAGTGGCCCTGCCACTGTGGTGTAAGCTGGGCTGATCACACAGACCAGGAAGGAGGCTTGTCCCAACCCTATGTAATAGGAAGTCTCTATGTTTTACTTTTTCTTTGTTTATGATAGAGTGTGTACATACATGCAAGAGTGAGAGAAAATGAGAGAAAGAGGCACCCTCCATAGGATCTTGTTACGCTGTGGTCCCCTTTCCGGCCCCCTAGGGATGTAGGATCCTGGAGTACTTAAACACATGTCCGGTATGTTTTCAGGCTAACACTGAGGATCCAAACCCACAGTCCCCATGTGGCTTCCAGTCTTGTAGGGCACTTGTGTTATTGCTACATCATAGTGGTTGGGCTTGTTTTCTAAATAAGAATAAAACAATGTCAGACAAAAGCCCGAAAGTGAGAAAACCCGTGAGAAGCAAGCCCACAAAAGCAAAAGTAAGGGAGAGTTTCTAGGAAAAGACGTTTCAGTATGAAGTGCTGGTGTGGTCTCAGGGTATAGCTTGAGGATCCATGCTGATATCTCCAGTCAGGAGAGGGCCTACAGCATGCACCGAGGACTGCCCAGGGCAGAGGCTATGTTAAAGGAGTACCAAGTACCAGGAGTGGGGCTGTCCCTGCATTTAGATGCTTGTTCATGGCCTGATGGGACCCAACATCTGGGGAATTTGCAGACAGTAGACAAATAGACAAAGGAGAGCATCCAGAAAAGACCGAGAGATGGAGCTCATGGCTCTGTCGGTGTTCAGAGGGGAAGTAGGGGAGGAGAGACCCACTTTGCACATAGATGGGGCCAATCTAGTGATAGCACAGCATGGTAAGTCAGTCCAGGCCTGTTCACCATGTATTTTTTTCATAAAATAAGACATAAGTCCTGACACCCAAAATGTAGAAGTGGCCTCAAAAGAGAATGGTGAGAGATGGTAATGGTCTCTAGGGAGTAGAGAAGGAAGCCCATAAAGATTAGGCTGTGCTCATTGATGAAGATGATGCCATACAGTTAAAGTCCTCACCCTTTACTTACTGTGCACCAAACACTGCTTTCCGTGGGGGATCCATGGCAGTGGGCAGAGGTGAGCCAAGCCCTGCCTGTGTAGCAGGAAGGGTGGTAAGGAACCAAAGCAGACACTGTGTCAGAAAAAGATGCACTACATGGAGAAAAGGCAGAAAAAGGGGCTGGAGAGTGGCCCAGAGGACTCGGAGAAGCCCCTGTGAAGGTGATGCACCAAGTGGCTGGAAAGAGGCCCTGCCATTCCCACCGTGACAGGAGGGATATAGGCAGCATGAGGTGTCCTTTTGTTTCTCTGGTGTGAACATCACGAAAGTTTTGACAGTTTTCAGTTAGATATTGTGCATCCGAGGGGTATACAGGCCTGTGTCTGACAGGCAGGCCTGATGCAGGGGATATCAGCTATGGGCTTCAGTGTCCAGATGGCTCTAGGCCTCGAGCTGGCTCAGGTGCAGGGATCTGTGGCTCAAGAGGTGAGTCTGTGCCAGGCCTGAGCCTGGACATCTGCAGAAGTTGATGCAGAGAAAGAGGCTGCTGAGAACAAAAGTGAGGGCAGCATGGTGTCTAGGGGCTAGTGAAAAGGAGAGAGAGCAGCACCCTCACTGTGCAGGGTGCTATTGGGCTGACCCCAGGGGTCACTGTGGAGGGAAGGATGAGGGCCAGTTAATGAAGCAGTTGTGCAAAGCTGGCTGCTATAGGTTCAAGAGAGAAACTAAAGATAACTCGGATAGAACTCTGGGGGTTTGCTAAGGAGAGCAGATCAATGGGGTGTTAGTTGGAAGAGAATGGGAGTATCAAGGTTCTCAAATTGTATGTTGATGGAAAAGGTCCAGGAGAAAGGGGAGAGAAAGGAAAAAGGGAATTTCTCTCTGGTATGGCAAAAGGATTTCACAGATGTTGGTGGCCTAATCTGGAACTGAGTATCTATCCAGAGACAAAAGGGAAACCCAGGTCTATGCAGCTGTAGGATGAACCTACGCAGAGGCTGAGACAGCTCACCCATGGACAGGGGAGGGCAGAGTCTATGCAAGCACAGAGTGAAACTGGTTGGGGCCCAGCCCTTTTATAGACAGGGGACAGGCAGAGTCTGTGTAGGTGCAGGGCAAACCTAGTCAGGGGCTGAGACGGCCCACTGTGGACAAGGGATGGCAGAAAATCTATGCAGGTGCAGAGTGAACCTGGTGATGGGCTCAGACAGTCCATCCATTGTCGGGAAGTGCCGGGGTCCAGCCTCTGCGTGGGTGGGTTATCTTGACGGAGGCGGCGAAGGTGAACAGAAGACAGAGGCCTCGATGCCTTTTTATGCACGTCCTTTGCCGGACACCCCTCAGAGATCACTCTCTGAGGAGTGACAATTGCTAGGAATCATCATGCGTTTTTATTGAAAACGTGTTACATGCAAGTAAAGGGAGAGGGACTACGTGTTTCAATTATCAGCTCATAAAGTTTTAAGAATAGGGAACATAGATTCTATTCAGGGTTGGATTAAGGGTGGGTCTAGTGTAGTTCCGCAATTGTAGGTGGGTCTCCATGGAATGCAGTTTCGGGAAAGCGGTTCCGGTAAGCAGAGATGATTATCAGCTGATGCGGTGCAGCAGCCATCTTGTGATTACTGGGAATGGTGCTGAGAAAAGAAAATCTATCCTATTTTACGTAAAGAAAGGATTAAGTTTACCTTAAATGTATTTTGAAGGGCCTTCCAAAGGTCAAGATTATTTCTGCCTAGAAAGAACTTAAGCCCACCCTCTATTGTGACCATGGAGATAAAGCATTGTAATTAATAGTAAGTGATCAGAGCAAAGGGGAGGGTCGGGGACTTCCTGGAAGATTTTATCATACACTCAGGATGTATAAGAGAGCTATGTAATTCTTTTATAGTAGTATATTGGGGAGTCAGAGGGGGGTCGCTTCCCAGCAAGGCTGCCACAGTTTCTGGAGCAAAATCCTAGGTCGGGGGGGCCACAGTAGCAGCCTTGCCAGTGTACTGAACCGACCGGAAGGTGGGGGGTGCTCAGACAGATCCTGGGGCCCCACCGGGTCGGACTCCTCCAGGGAAGAGCCGAGTCTGCAGGTGCAGGGTGAATCTGGTCAGGGACTGAGATAGCCCACCATGGTCGAGGGAGGGTGAGGTTTATGCAGGTGCAGGGTAAACCTGGTCAGGGGCTGAGACAGCCCATCTAGATAAGGGAAGGTGGAATCTGCAAGTGCAGGGTGAATCTAGTCAGGGACTCAGACAGCCCACCAGTGGAGAGGAGGGTGGAGTCTGTGCATCTACCAACAGGTATGTCAGCTGACAATAGCAAGTTCCTTCATTAGCTTATTATCAGGAGGGTGAGGAGGGAGCAGTGGCACTTTGAGGAGAGAGTGTGCAACTCAGTCATGTAACGGGGATGAAAGGACTGGGGAAATACATGATGGTATCTGTCAGGATAAGGTTGTGTCGGTAGTAGCTGTCATGAACTGAGTTTGAATCCCACCAGCCAGTGCAGATTCTGTGCTTTCTATAAGTGTGGAGCAGGCCAATCTGGTGTGGGATGTCCAGTGGTAGTTTGATGACATTAATACAAGTTCTGAGAGAGCAAGTGCCATAATGCCCATAAAATCTGAACTAGGCAAGGTGAGAGTGGAATGGACATGGCTTACGTGAGATCACAGGGCCATGGCTGTGGCTTGGGGAGAGGTTGGTCAAACACTTAAGGAGTTAAGCTGCTTGAGTGGTGAACTGGAACCCGAAGGATGAAGGGTGCTTAGAACTGCGATAATGGAGAGAAGCAATTTATAACTTCATGACTTAGAGAACAAGCGGTAGTGGCCACGGTG